TCACATACTTGACATTTCATGACGATTGAATACAGCCTTCTCATTGATATCGTTGGCGGGCGCGAAACACTCAGTGACTTTTACTGTTATCCCCTCCTTCTTTGTCTTCAAGAATGTACTGATGGTTATTGGTCCATGAGATTCCCATCCTATAAATGCTTTTTGTGCTTCTTTGGATAGAATCAGTGAATCCTCTTTAGTGTATGAGTCATTTTCTTCTTTATGGCTGGAGTACAACAAAACCTCTTCTGAAGCCATCTTTTTATTTCCATAGCAAACTGAATAGTTCTCCTGGTCTCCCACATTTGACGGACACTTCACGTACCATGCTAATTACTACCGTGGTTGTGAAAAGGTCTCCTAACTTTCTAAGAAATGGCATGATAACTCTTCTAAATGAAGACCTTCGAACTCTCGAGGTAGAGTCCAAATGGTTTGAATTATTTTTTCTGGTTAGCATTTTTTAGCAAGTTTACTTTCTATGGGATGAGGTTCCTAACGTAATGAGGAACCCTCCTTCTTTATCCGGACCGTGGACCTGCAGTAACATTAGAGGGGCTCCAGGCGTATTTTAGTACACTTGAGTGCTACTAAAATAGCTATAACATTTCCTGTTCAAGAAAAAAATTGACTTCAGTACTTCAAACTTGTTAGGTTGCAATGAAAACGTAATATCTTTAGACTCTTGGTCGTTAATATCTTTTATTTTTAAGGATTATATTGCGCAGTCTAAAAGTTATTGAAATACGATAGGTTTAGCTGAAATTATTAATTGAATATTGTTACACCTATGTTTTGAAATACCGTTCGATTAAGCACAAATGTTATGCGCAAAGTAATAAATAGTCAATTCCATTTATTTATTAATTATTCCACAGATTGTTGTTGTATTGTACTTGATTTTTAGGTATTATTTGATCCAAGTGTAATTACATTTATTGAGACAATTTTAGGCGGTGGACCAGGTCATGAAGTAGAAAAGGTATTTGCTATTGATAGTGGTTTCTTTCCAGGCTTAAGAGGTCAACCAGTTAGTACTTTAATGTTTCCAGATTATTTAACCGGTAATATACCAAGTCAAGTTGATAAAAATGATCATAATCAGGCTTATTTCAGAGAAGTACAAAATACTTTGTCAACTATTGGATCTTTTTCTGATTTTATGTATACTGAGCATAATAAAACGTTATTGAAGCGAGATACTTTAAATGAAAATATAATCCAGTTTGATGCACAATCAAGATCACGTCAGTCGAGTGACTGTTATGTAGAAAGTAATAAGAATACTACTCAAGATTCGTTCAATGATGCAGGACTTTTGAAAGAGAAGACCGATTCTAATTGTGTAACAGATCATGAGCAAATAAATGTGAAGAGTTTTTTAAGCTATAAAACTCAAACAGGTGAGTTAAATTGTCAAAAATCTTATTGCTGAATATTTTAACTTATACTGGTTGTTTGAGCTACTAAAACCTTAATTATTAATAAACGAATTTGAGTACTTACTATCTGACGAAATTAATTGATAAACTATAATCAGTGTAAGCCTTAGCACTCCTGGAGTTTGTCAATGTTTTTCAATTAAGTGAATAATAGAAATTATCCAAAAGTAAAACTTCAGAATGTAGTTGAAACCTAAACAGCACACATTTGATGTTATCAGCCACAACATGAAATCTTTTGAAAAACGACAAATTGAAAAGTTTATCATTTTATTAAAGATTTTCTTAGTAAATGATAATAAATTCTGATAAACTTACTACTATTGTATAAACAAACTTAATTCGAAATCGGTTTCTTTGTGCTTATTGCACTCAAAAAATTGTATTAAAACTCATCGTTAATCTGGTTCAAATTTTAACATATTCCTATGCCTTGGGGTAATATTTCGTGCTTATAAATAATTAGATCAAATTTTGTCCAAATAACATGATTCGTCACTTATTGTCTTCGTTATTGTTCACCAATCAACTAGCATGATTATTATATCAAAATATATATGATCAATTGTATGAGAAATATATTGGATTTTATCAAAAAAAGTAAACAAAATGACAAACTAATTCACAAGTGAACATGCTTCATGGTTCATACTATTGTACTGAGCTCATGTTTGGCAAGGAAATCTTTTTATAGTATTTTAGTGACGGAACAATTCGTAAAGTTTTACATCAATAGAAGTTAAGAATATAAATTAAAAAAATCAAGGTAACATTACATGATTAATTCAGTGAAACTGGATCAGGTTGAAATAATGCTTTCTTCTAAGATGTTGGTGTCACATCCCAGCTTATCTCATCGTAAAAATGCATTTCTTCTTGCGAATAAAACTAAGTAGTAATGGTTCCACGACACTGGAGTTCAAGCAATAGTCGCTTCAGGGTGATAATGTATGGCCTTTCTGTAAATAGTTTCGGAAGTATTAGTTCTTTACTTACTGAAATTCACTTCCTGCAAGGGGAATCCTTTGTTTAAAAGGAAGTGTGGTGCTTTGAAGCCAGTAATTTTTATTACTCACTTTGGTCAAGGGAAAGCAACACTTTCAGAGAAGTTAGTTATCCGTGGAAAACACATTACTCCGACCACATTTCAATACAATCGAGAGTGTGACATCGTTCTACTAATCTCAAACAAACCTGCTGAGCACGATAGGACCCTAAAAAATGTCTTCTAGCTAATATGAGCTCAAGTGGGTCCTCATGATGAGGCTAGCCTCCATATCAAGGTACTACGTACTACTGGGGCCACTTGTAACATAGAGCAGATATCTTCCCAGCTATCAAAATCTTTATACATTCATATGTAACTATGCCTTTCTAATGAATGTAGTAGTCTATTCACTTGCCAAGTTAGGGGTTAGAGAGCAGATATATTTGAGCTGATTAATGACCAACTTTTTATAATCAGGATAATTTTAGATTTGACAGGAAGTATTTTATTTTATCTCCTATATCCAGAAAGTAATGCAAAAAGATCAAGTTTTGTTCTTAATTTACAGGAGAGGCGATTGCTGTTCGGTTATCCCAACTTCGTTTAGTGCCCCTTCTGGAGTTGGATAAAGAACTTCATCATTTAGCTTCCCAGGTAATAAATATAAATATATCTTTATAGAACATTAAAAGGTGGAGTAGGCTTTTACAGTATACAAGTTAAAGAATAAAATAAATGATTGACGGTCCGGAGAACCCTGTTATGTTTTTAAATCTACAGAGAACATACATAATTTAAAATTAATGCCATTAATAAAAAATCCTTTTACACGAGAATCGCTGTTGAACGTAACTAACCAATAGTATGAACCCTGCGCACGAAATTCTACTGTCTTAGATAAGCTGTTTGCAGAATGTGATCATACTTGTGAATATTATACAAAACCAATAATAAGCTGCTGAGTATAGCTTTATATACAAGTGGCATATACTTAACAAAATTCAGTCACAACATTGTTCCTCCCATAAAAAGAGGGGTGGAATCATTATTTATAACCTTTAAACCCATAACTAACCTTCTGCGAGGCAAAATTTTAATGTCTCATAGACACGTTATACGAACTATCAAGTACAAGGTAATTTGCCGTCAAGTCTGTAACATATGATATCATACATGTTTTTTTCCACTTGGATAGAAACTTCTGACTTTCAGTCAGTTATTTCATGCTCAGTTGGCAAGTACCGGAACAATATCGATAGGCCTTTATCGAAGTGTTGAAGCTAGCAATAATACGGATGAATATTTTTCATGCAGAAACATATATCTTGAAGCTAGTGGAAAAATCGAAAGATTTGTCTACACATTACCACAGCCTACAACTCCCATATACCCCAGTGATATGGTAAGTATGAAATTCTCGTTTATTTGCCACCTGGTAAACATCAAGATCATATATCTGTTGAATATTACTCAAGATTGATGAAGTAAACAAATTAAGAAAACACAGAAAACTGGGAGAATTCCTGTCCACCATATACTGTATGATATGAAGCAGTGTACAGTGACTCACAACCGTCGAATGAACCGAGCTTTGGGACAACTGACATGTCAATCACTTGCCTAGTAAACTTATGCAAATCTCTTACTTACATTATCCTCTTCGTACATCATACTGGTATCCTACATAAAAGTTGGGTTGTAACTGTTCACTTCTGGGTGTCTCGGGATAGTATTAGAAACTAGGTTGTTCTCAATACAACGTCCAGACACTTTCCAGGTCTTTTAAACTGAGCTTAAGATTTTGTCACGTTACGTCTACATTTCGTTATAAGAGATCTGTCCCAAATTATTGGATCTTATCAATTGAAAACATCATAGATTGTATTTGGTAGATGGACAATTTCCAACCGATAAATCAGTCAGCCAGAATATAGAACTTGTTGCGTACGTACATCAGTTACTAACTTCTACTTACCGAAAATAAAGTTATTCAATAATCTCTATTTACATGCTTTATTCGTTCCCCGAGACTTCCTTTTTGTTGATTAGTGGTTTTAAGTGCTATAACAGGGAATGAGTCATTCGTATCAATCAATCAGTCAACAGCGACGTAGAACTTCGTACACACGTATATCATTTCAAGTTGCCATACCACATTAGCACAGAGAAATATTTGTCAACTCAAATTCCATAGTAGTAGAGGTAGTAAAAGTATTAGCAGTAATCGGAGAGATTAGGGTTCGAAGATATTATTCAAGAAGTATAATAATATACCTACGCCGGCGATGCCACGGGAAGCGGCATCAGAGCTTCCAGAAACACAAAGCGTAAACCTTGTTGTGTCTCTATCTGCACTAGGTCAAATCAAACTGATGATTTTATTCCGATCTTGTATACGCGTCTCGGAGACGCATCATACATCGGTCGCCCGGGATCCCAGAGTTCTAGCTAATAAAGCCTGTTGCCCAATTTGGCATAGCGTTCGAACATTAAAAGCTCCAATATTTAATTAAGTACGAGGTTTCAAGAGACTAGGAATAATGTTTCGTGAGCTCATACCGTCTGCTTCGGTGGAACGAGGTAATGAACGAATGAAAGGGTTGGTCGAGGTGATGAGTTATCAAGTGTAGAGAGGATTTGATTGTGACCAATTTGGTTTTGTGTGCTTTTATGGGTATGAGGGCGGATGTAACTTCCCGGCTGCCCACACCGTGGAAGCAGTCATTCGTATCATGCCATACAGCACCTGTATTTATCTGAGCATATCTTTGTGTATGGTATTTTCAGCTACTTTGACAACAGGACATAGGAAACCTTTTTATCAAGAAACACATCAACTATATGAAAACGGATAAGTACGCATGTGATTGAAACCCAAGTTCCAAACATATTATTTTTTCTGCAGTAATGAAACCCTTCCAACAATACAGACTATTATACTTTTACCAAAAGCAATACTATATACTTAACGTGTGATAATTTCTCACGATCAAAAGTTTTTATATTCCCTTTCTCAATCTTTTTGAGTCTGATATCTGCGATTTAGTCAATTGCAGACAATTAGATGAAACCAAATTTGTTATCTAGTACACACTTAAACACCAAACTTAGATGGATTTATTTTATTTTTGTGTATAGATTTATTGCCTTACAGCAATGACCGAAAATCCAATGTTAGGATAGAAAAAAATGGTGCCAAGAGGTCAGTCAGTTTTTATTTGCTTGTACTGAGAGCAGCTATTGTGTTTATCTTCACGACAGCAACCCCTATCACTGTCCTATCTGTATTCATTCTTGTGATTGGAGAGAAAAAATAAATGTATATCAAACCGTAATGTTAATTTTTTGATTATTCACAAAAATAATACAATGGTTAGCACCCTGTTACAGAAATGTTAACAGAAATTTGTCAGTGTTGTATTTTGACCAACTTTAAAAATTCATCCCTTAATTTGTCCGCCTGTACAAGAAACTCCTGAAAAACATTTTGAAAAAAAAAGAACGAACCAATAAGTAAAGGGACCGAAGAGAAAAGCATATTGGTCAATAAAACTTAAAAAGTGAATGAACATTAACAAATTGTGTGATCATTTCATAGGACTATTACTTTACAAAGTCTATATTTCGAGTACCGATGTTTTAGCCAGCAATAAGAGCACATAAGATTGGTTCGGTTCATAGTTTATAACGTTCAAAATTAAAACTGATGAGAGTTAGATGTAAAATGTTTGGCCAACGGCGTCAAAAACAACGAAGTACATTGCCATCAAAACTAGTAATCGAGCACATAAAACTTGAAAATGCTTATAAAAATATTGTCACTACAGAAATTTTAAATAGATCCATTTTTAAGATACTGTTTAGAAACTAATGGGTTATCATTAGTGCGCAACAATCTGTACTTCTACTTAAGTATGTTCTAATGTAAACATCAGGTCTGCACTGGCTTTTGCCGCCAAAAATGGAAACGTGCATAGCCAATCAGCTAGTCGTAACGTAGAACTTGGTACGTACGTACATCAATTTAAGTTGCCATAACACGGAGAAATGAAGTTATCAGCTCAAATCCCATAGTAGTAGAGGTTATAGCAGTTTTGTTCATAATAGAAAGCATTGGGTATCGAAGATATTATTCGAGAAAACATAAACCAGTGAAATAAATTTAAAACAAAAAAGGTTATGAGGGATTCAGAAGGTTAGAAGTTGGGGGAAGACAAAGAATAAATACTTCGGAGCCATTGGAAACGGTCTTGAGCCACGCCACTCGAAGCCTGTAACCACCGGTTACGATTGTCTCACGGACCCCAACTAGGTAGTCTAAACTCACCCGACGGTGGTTTCTACCTTGATGTGGTGGTCGGGCTTGCTTATTTCGATGACCAGACAGAGCTATATTGACTGGAAAACAGGTTATTTTAGGTCCTACAATATTGCGTAAGTAGGTTTTCGAACGGTAAAACCTGGGGCAGAAACTTTAGGACTGAGGGCGAATCCGTGCTGCTGACTGTAGAGGGATGTGACAACAGTAAGGTGTTTCTGTTGGACAACTAGAATCTGCAGCGGTGCTTGCATCTCACAAAGAAAGGAAGGGGATAGAAAAGGTTGACTCTAAAAGTGTCAAACCACACCTTATCCTATGAACTTCCGTTCGCAGCGCTAAGGCCTTTTTGGAAGAGCGGAGCTGACACTTTAAATACTTCTGATAAAAAAAGCCGTAAGCAACCGACCTTAAACAATTGTTCCCTGGATTCAGAGGTCATGCTCCCAGGTAACTAGGACCGTCCACTAACCCAGCTTCTTTTTCAGGCTCCTTGGAAAATATCCTTTCATAGTGTAGGAGGCCGGGAGGCGTCAAGCGCTATTATACCCCTAACTACACAAGATCAAATCCTTTCTTCACCCCTTAATATCTATCTCACCCTCATGATTAACCTTTTTGCTTATTACGATAATCATAGATATTTCAATATTCTCACTGATAAGAAACCGAGAGCTTTTCGAAGTCTAGAGTACAAGGAATAACGTTTTGAAACGTGGAGCTAGCACTACTTTGTAAGTGATATCGATCAGTTACATTAAAACAATTACTATTTAGAATCATGATTTTAAAAAAGTACCAAATTAAACACTATAACCCACTTCCTTAAAACCTACTTGTATTGTATCTACTAGCCTCTTACGACAAGTGCGTTCATTTTCACAATTGTACGGTAACCGAACAGAGTCCAAAAGCTCAAGAGTACGCATGCAGCACTCCATAATGTCAAGTGTAGACTTCACGTGTTCAGGTATATTTGAGCTACCAGAATCACTTTGAGACAGCTATGTGTAAAAAACAAATGCATATATATATATATATATATATATATATATATATATATGGAATTTTTGCTGCAACAAATATTAATTTGTGCGACTCGTGAAAATGATAAACAACCTACTGGAATAACAATCTACAAACAGATTATATATGCGGAGGAGAGTTGAGAGCAAAAAGCGATGGTTACCAACTTTGAAAACGATTAAGTGGTCTTTATAAGTTAGCTAAGGTTATGGCAACATCAGCTCATGTCATGAGATACTGGTTAGTGACTCAATTCCACACTAAAACAATGACTGGAAAACAAACAGTCAATTGGATAGTAGTATAGCACAGTTAATATTTTGGTTTGTCGAGTTGAATAATAAACTCACTATTACTAGTTTGATTAAAAACTATCCTTTGCCCGAAATGGTCGGTTTATCACTATGACATCAAAACTGATAAAGAATATGGATCATTCACAACTGTATGAACATCCGTGAAATTCCTGCATGGTAGTGTTATAACATTTTAATTCGGTTGTATATTGATTTAAGAAGTAATATTGGAGCTATATATGCCACATTATCGCACTAACTTTGGTGTAGATATTGCGAGAGTGTACGGTTTTGAAATTAGCCGAACACTTGTTTGTGAATCATAATAAAAAAAAACTGATCTGTCGATAATTTCCCGACCGAAGCTGCTACCTTGACGTGGTGGTCGGGCTTGACTATCGTGATGACCCAGCCGAGCTATATTGGCTGGAACATATGCTCCTGAAAGTTCTACCATGCTAGGCAGGTCGATTGGAGAACGATCAGACTAAACGCAGCTACTCAAGGTTTGAGGGCGAAGTCGTACTACTGACTGCAGAGGGATGTGACAGCAGTAAGGTGTTTCCCTCGGACAACCACCATCTGAAGCGATGTTGCCCTTCTCACAAGGAAGGAAGGGTTAGAAAAGGTCGGCCCTAAAAATGTCACACCTCACCCTATCTCACGGATTTCCGTCTCCGGCGGTAAGGGCTGCCCAATAAAGAGAGGAGCTAATAATCAAAAAACCTCTCATAAAAAGGCCATGCGTGACCGGCCTCAAGCAGTTGTCCCTTGGACTTTGCGGTCACGCTCCCAGCTCTTTAAGACTGACATTAATCTACCTTCCTTTTCATGTTCCTCAAGAAACAACCTTCCACGGTGTGGGTAGCCGGGAAGTGAAAACCACCCTCATACCCGTAACAGCACACGAGACCAAATTGGTCAAAACCAAATCCTTCCTATACCCCCTGATATCTCCAAGACTAACTTTACTCACATTCCCTTATCTCACTGCACTGCTAATGCAAACGATGCGAGTTCACGAAACGTTATTCCTGGTCTCATAAAACCTCATTCTAGACTACATGTTGGAGCTTTTAATGCTCGGACACTATGTCAAATAGGGCAACAGGCTTCATTAGCTAGGACATTAGAATCTCGCGCCATCGATGTATGTTGCGTCTCGGGAACGCGCATACAGGATCCTAGTAAAATCATTAATTTTATTTCACCTTGTCAAATAAAGAAGCAGCTCGATTTACTCCTCGTGTATTCAGCAGCCCTGATGCTGCTTCCCATGGGCTCACTGGTGTAGGTATAGCATTGAGTCCTAGGGTACAACTATCTCTCCTAGACTGGATCCCGGTAGATAGCCGTTTGTGCGCCGTCCAACTGAACGGGAGGACAGTAAGGACTCGGAAAGATAGGGACACTCGTCGTTGCCTCTTCGTCGTATCTGCCTACGCCCCCACTGACTGCAGTTCAGACAAGGTGAAAGATGAGTTTTACAGAAAGCTTTCGGACCTCCTCCAAAAAGCTAGGCGCTCTGTTATAGTTATAATGGCTGGAGACTTTATTGCTCAGATAGGTAGACTTACTGAGAAGGAAGGACACCTGGGTGGATCTTATGGTGCCGCAGCTCAGAGAACAAACGATGCCGACCGTCTGTTGCAACTGTGCTCAGATAACCGCCTATTTCTAGCAAACACTAACTTTAGGCATAATGAAAAACGTCTTTCGACCTGGCGACCCCCAAAGTCGTCTCAACGCTGGACCCAACTAGATCACATCGTCAACAGACGCCGACGGAGGAGTCCGATAGAGGACTGTCACTCGTTCTAGGGCACATGTCTAGATTCAGATCATGCCCTAGCGCGAGTGTATTCGTTTTTTGAGGCTTACTGGACATAGGAAAGACACCAGAAGGAAACCTCTTACGGCTCTACTTAGCGATAATAAAGCAAAGAATATACTTCAGGAACAACTAGTAAAACAGTTAGGCTGCCATGTAGTATGTGATTCCCATCCGGAGGCAGGTTGGAATGATATCAAAAATGCTGTGGAAACAGCAGTGATATCTGCTAGTAAAGTAAACCATAAGTCTAGGATGAGGCCGTGGATCTCAGTAGCATCTACCGAACTTACAGACGCTCATAAACTTATCTCTCCTGGCTCTAACATGATGAAGAGCAAAGTCGGCTTAAGCGCAGGCTGACAAAAAGCCTACGCAATGGTCGCGAACAGTGGTGGGTGGCGACTGGTCTCAATCCCTGATTGTCCTCTCAGGACAATCACAGGGGAATCAGTCTAATTAGTATAGTTTCCAAATTCTTAGTCTCGATTATACTTAGAGGTCTAACCATAGCGCATGTAAAGCAGACTAGAGAAAACCAGGCTGGTTTCAGACCCGGACATGGCTGTATAGACCACATTTTCACGCTACATCAGGTCCTAGGACAAAGACACTTTCAAACGCCTCACAGTAGTAGTACTTCTCGACCTTAAAGCGGCATCCCATTCTGTTGATCGTGAAGTTCTGTGGCAGTGTCTATCATTAAAAAATGTAACAAAGAACATTAACTTTAAACAAGCCCTTTACTCGAACACTACAGGTCGAGTAAGAGCTTATGGCGAACTGTCATCGGAATTAGTTACTTCAAGTGGTGTCCGTCAGGGATGTCCACTTTCTCCGTTCTTGTTTAATTTTGTCACAGACATGCTTCTAGATACAACATTATCTTCATTTTAATTTTCAGGAATAGACCTTCTACCAGGAGATTCGTTGGTTAACTAAGAATATGGTGATGACATATTTCTACTTGGTGAAGGCGCTTACAAAATGCAGTCTTCTGACCACCCTAGGCGACAATGCAAGGATGTTCGAGATGCGGTCTTCCCCCTCGAAATGCAAAATGTTGCTTCAAGATTGACTTGCATCGGCACCTGAACTAATGATAGGGAGTGAAGTAGTCGAACGTGTCGACTGCCTCACTTATCTGGGGAGTCTCACCAGTGCTGATGGCCTGGTGACTGAAGAAATCTCGGGACGGATACAGAAAGCTCGACTGGCTTTTGCCAAGTTTCGTCACCTATGGCGCAGGCGAGATATCTGTTTGCTAACCAAAGGGCGAGTGTACTGTGCAGTAGTTCGCTCCGTCCTACTATACCGATGCGAAACATGGCCAGTAAGAGTAGAGGAAACTAGTAGGTTACTAGTATTCGATCATAGATGTTTAAGAAGCATTGCTCGTATATCCTGGGACAACCGAGTAAGCAATGCTGTTGTTAGGAAACGAGTACTAGGTCGGGATGGCAAATCAATAGATGAGGTATTGAAACTTCATCAGTTGAGGTGGTTGGGACATATGTTACGTATGCCTAACCACCGACTGCGTTGACGAGCTATGTTTTGCGGTGTAGGAGTAGGTTAGAAGAAAGCTAGGGGTGGCCAAACCAAAACATTGTCGAAATCGATGAAGTCATTGACAAGTGGACTGAATCATGTTGGTAGATGTAGGCTACCTGGTTGGGGTCCGCGAGACGAAAGTCATCAATGGTCAGATACCTTAAACGACATGGCTCAAGATCGTTTGCAATGGCGCAGGTGCATCCACTCTGTGTTCTCTCAAATTCAAACTTTCTGAATTCCTCATCATCTCACCACTATTGGATCTGAACTGACAGTTGCGTCTCTGTGCTGATGCGGTATGGCAACCTGAACTGATGTACATACGTACGAAGTTCTGTGTTGTATCTGTCTGTCTGTCGATAATTTACTACATATACAATATTGAGTTAATAGATTATCGTATTATCGAATGACAAAACGATGTATAAAGGCTGCGAAATAGGCAAGTTTCCATAATTCATTAGTATTAGATAATTTGCTCTACTTTGTAGCATGAAGTTTTATTTACACATGTTCGATTTCAGTAAGTCCGATACTGACTATGAAGAGTTTGTTAAGGAGTCTTAAAAAAGTGCTTAGTTCTTGACCATAATTTTCCAAGCAATATGCCAATTCACGAATGATTTGAAGCAACAGTCGAGCTTATATAGAACAAAAATTAAATTTTTCGATGATCAACCTGGAGATAAATCAAATACAGACTATGAAGCGAAAACTAGGCAAAGTCAAAATAGTGGGTATTAAAAGTGTACCTCAACTAGTCAATTTTTAAGTTTTAGAAATAAATAACCGCCTCACTTTATTAGTACCGAGATTACTCGTTTCATAATTTTGATCCACTTATCAGGATAGGAAAATAGTGAATACGTCCGCAGAAAAGTAAAACACGGAAAGTTTTACTGAGAACCTAGGCAAACATGTTCCATCAATAATTGCATGTCTGAGATATTACTAGCCGGCTATTGTTGCAAATGCACAAAGCAAATACAGGAAACAGTGACACGGTGGACGCGGGCTGCACGCGAATATCGAGTTTATCTTCAAACAGCAATAGTATTAGTTACACAACTACGTTTGTCCAAAACTGCCAAACTATTGTTTGCTTTAGAAAGTGACTCTAAATGTTGAATATGTAACCCTTGTACATCATTCAGGTAAACATTCAGAATATAATAAATGTGACTTATACGTTTTCCAGTTGAACTTACAATATTATCTAGCTTGTTCGAGAGATCTTTTAGTTGTAAGTCGACTGAATCAGATATATCTTTTGCCTTGGTGAGCTTCGCTGCTTCTTCGGGATCAAGTTTATCAACCTTTAGTGGGAAGGATAAATATCACGATTTGCATTGACTTACTGAACCAAGAACCATAACTTTAGACCCAGGTGTGAGACCGAGTGAAGAAATTAGTGCATCGGGATCTGTGAGAGATCTTCCTATACTGTATTAAATAAATGTGAATATGAAGTACCTTTGTAAATTAATCTTTGTTTATCAAATGGGATGTGCAAAACAGACTCTACTGACTTCATTAAGTTCTGAAGTGTCGCATCGCTATCTGATGGTAAAGGGACCACATACTTTTGACCCTCTAAATAGGATAAACAAAGTAACAAACTTATTACCAAAAATTACATTGATGCTATGATCTGAGTCTGACATTTTAAATTTACGTCAGACCTAACGATGACTATCAAAGTAATTGTTAGTACACTAGTCAAGATCGCCGTTCGACAGCTCTGAAAACTCCATTTCAATTTCAGCACGTAATCCAATAAAGTATGCAACTAAGTTTAGGACCGGCGCTTCACAGATATCGGCAGAAGCTAATTATCCCGCCGTCTCAGAAAATATCAATGATCTATTCATTATCACATAGCTTTTTCTACAGCTAGAATAAACCGGTTGATTTATTTGCTCTCAGTTTTTATTTTTGTGGTAAGACTTCAGGATGCATGAATGTCTAGCAACTCGACTGTACTAATTCTAGTCAGTTGGTAGTTATCGATTTCTATGTCCAATAGTGTGAGTGCGTTTGTTTCAGAGTAGTAGGGTAGAACAAGTAAGTTAATTGGTATTGGAGCTGGTGCTGCAGGACAGAAGTTTCAGCAAAAATGAAAAAGCGGCGATAGCAAGCGAGACAGAATAAGTTAGTGATCAGAAGAAATAACAGCGATAAGAACTAGCAGATGGACCAAGCATAGATGTTCCAAGAGGGAGATGATAATCCGTAGGTGACCACGTATCTTTCAAGTGTCTTCTCGAAACTATCCACTGAAGGCATTGTGGCCACTTAAGCTGGGAGAACATTGACAACTCCATATGGGAAGTGTGCGTTCCTGAATGTTCGCTCTTTGATGTGCAATTTTTAGAGGGTTGCTTCAAGGTGAGTGGTTGTGACATTTTGGTAAGATGTTCGTGTTAGGATGATTCGGCGTATTTATCATGTTGTAAGCTATTATCAGATCACCTCTATTATTCAGAGGGAACGATCTCAAGTGTCAGAGCCAGTCTTCGTAAAGTTTATTCCTTAACCCGTTCATTTGTTCGGCTCTACATTCAATTCAGAAGATTTATATACCTTACAAACGGAAGAGTACGATGGCATGATGAACTCCGATTTTTGACCGTGCTCACTTTTTAAAGGGAGTTATAAAGATTTGTGAGCGAAATTCCATTGAGCACGTAAGTTGTTTGTGTCGCGCACCCATACATCATCTGCATAGATTATTGCCATTGAGCAAGTTATTACTAAATATCAGGAAGAGGAGTTGACCTAAGCTTTTCCCTTGTGGGACTCCCGATATTGAGATACGCCAGCTCGCATGCATTCTATTTACTGTGGTATGAAACTTTCTTTTCCCTAGATAGTTTCTGAGTCAAGATGGAAGTAGATCAGTAAAACCAATGAGATAACGTATGCTGTTCAAAATGTAGTAGTGAATAAATCCCAAGAATAAACAGTTCTGCAAATCTTTTATATTGATGTTAACCGCATTAATTTCACCAGATAAACGCTGGATGAAAATGATCACTCATGCATCCG